AAATGTTGTTGCAAGTGTTCACAGGTAACAAGGAATGAAAAGGCAGACAGATTTGGGCTGAATTGGGAGCTCAAACACAATGATAGAAAGAAGCATGTTGCTGATGCTGCTGCTTGCTACTGCTGCTAGTTGAGGTGCTGCAGATTAAAGAATGAAGAAATAGATATTTATGGCTGGAAATTGAAGAAACTGCACCGGAGAAAAAGACTAAGAGAAGAAGGAAATGATGAGAGAAAGGTGGCTGATTACGGCTAAAGAGAAGGAGCAGCCAAAGAGAAGACTACAACTTGTCGCTGAATAAACAAATCTCTACTACTGCAAGTCGTTGCCTCACCTTTCTGCTGCAAAGAAGAAGGCCAGAAACCAACCAATCCAAGTTTATCCAAATCTCAATAAATAGTCATCCAATAGCAGTTAGAAAAACAACAGATTGGGTAGTTAGATTTAGTCACAAAGACAATAGTTAGGTAGTAAGTTAGTAGGTTAGAAACTGGGTAGTAGAACAAGGAGGCAGACTGTCACTTTGTCAAGTAGCGAATGCCACTCGCCATAGTGAGCAGACAAACTGTCCCTACTACCATCTTCCCTTTCTTTCCTATAACCTTTTGATTTAGACTTATGTCTTATCTTTTGTACTCTGTTGCTCTCATGTTTAACTCAATAAACATGAGTAGCTAACTCAGTTAAGGGTTCAATCCCTACTATCTTTATGTGAAGGTCTTCATTCAGTTTCCTTGATGAGGTGTTGTGCCTAGATAAGTGATTTAATTAACCTTTTAATTTACTTGGCCACTTAATTAAATGTGCTCGAATGGTTATGAAGATCTGGAAGGGGGAGCATAACCTTAGAACTGCTTAATCTAGTCTATGACAATGGAGGAAATCTACCCTGCGGTTCCAAACATCGACGGAAGTTAGGTGAATGGCATAGGCGATCAAAGAGGGCTTAAGAACTCAATGGCTTAGATTAATGAATTACTCTGACTGGAAGGTAGATGATTTAGATAATCAGGAGTCTTTATTCTATCTGGAAGGACTTATAAAGAATATAAGTGCCTGATCGAACAACTAATCATACACTACAGGAACATTTGAATCAAAACTGGATCATAAAGGTTGGATAGTGATTGACCCTTCTGCCTTTTCACTCTGTCAAGTGACTATTCTCACTCTCCCAAGTGACAATCTTTTCAACTTATTTTTTTTCATTACCGCACTTTAATCAGATTTTGAGCGGTTGACTGTCGTCTCTGTGGAACGACCCTGCTTACCACTAGCTACTATTTTAAAGTAGGTTTATAAATATTTCTTTTGGAAGCGGTTCAACGACAAACGACCCACCAATCTCCTTGCCTTAACCCCCTTTTGCCTGCAAAGAATCCTTTTCTACTACCATTGAAGTTAAGAGAATAGGAACAAGTGGTGATACAGCTCATGATCCAGTTGATAAACCTTTGAGGGAACTTGTAATAGTGCAGCATCTCTTCAATGAACTCCCAATGAATAGATTCATTGGCCTTCCTCAAATCCACTTTCATCATACAACTTGGATGAGCATTCTTCCTTTTATACACCCTTTATAATTCTTGTGTCAGTAATATATTAAGCAGTATCAGCCTCCCTTTCAAAATGCTCCTTGATTATTGTCTATCAGGTTGGAAGCAAGTTACTTAGCCTAGTAAAAATCATTTTAGAGATGCATTTGTGCACTGTATTGCAGCAAGAGATTGGCCTATACTCAGTGTCATTAGCTACAATCTTTGGTATCAGGGTGATCATAGTTGTGTTCAGCTACTTCAACATTTCCCCAGTCTGAAAAAACTCCAGTACTGTTGAGTATACATCATCTCCCACTATATTCCAAGCTTTCTTTAAATACTCACTATTATAACCATCAGGCCCTGGACTTTTATTACTGTCTATACTTAACATGGCTTGTTTCGCATCATCTTTAGTAAAATCTTCAATCAGGAGAATCTACTGATCTACAGGCAGATTAATCCTGATTGAAAGATCTTACTTTCAGATGAAATTCTGTCCACATTCCTCTCCAACAGATTTTCATAATAGTTTAGAAAATGCTGTTCAACTTCCTTCGTATCTTTTACTAATTCACCATTCTCTATCTTGCATGATCTGATTTTATTTCTGTTATGTTTACTTTTAATATAGGAATGAAAATACCATGTATTCATATCACCATCTACCAGCCATTTTACTTTTAACTTTTGATTCCAAAAACTGATTACTGCATTACTGACACGTATATAATCTTTAGTTACCTCTCTTTCCAGCTGTTGTAAATCAGCATTCCCAAGGTCCTGATGGAGCTTTTCTTGCACTTCTTCTAGCCTCCTTTTCATTTCCTATGCTTGTACCTCAATAGTTGAAAACTTCTTCTGATTTAAGACTCTCAACACAGGTACTTCAGCTTTTTTACCATCTTATACTGTTTAGTTCCTATTATATGTTTCTGCCATGCATCCTTAACCATAGTCTGGAATTCTGGATATTGGCACCACATATTAAAGAACTTAAATGGTTTCTTATCAAGAAGATATTCTTCTCTCCATCTTACCAATAATGCCTGATGATCAGATAAAACTTCTAGCAAAATTGTTGTGTAGGTCTCAGGATATTGGACAAACCAATCTTCATTAATCACGGTTTGATCCAACTTTGAATATATTCTACCGTCTCCAAGTTGATTTCACATTCATCCACATTCTGTCCTCCCAGTCTTTCATTTGCTGCAAGTACACAATTAAAATCACCCATTATATGCCAAGCACCTTGAACACTAGTAGCAAGTTACTTGAGATCCTACCATAAGTTTTTCCTGCCTTGAACTGTATAGTCAGCATACACTGTTGTAAGGAAATAGTGTTTAATGCTATTAAGTTCTTTTACATAGCAATGAACATACTGCTTCTCTATCTTCAATACATTCACCTTATAACATCCTTTTCTCCATACCACTAATGTTTTCCCTTTTTCCTTCCCTTCATGATTACTGATATACTCAAACTATTGCCATTTCCTAAGCATAAGTTATGCAACCTTTTCACTATTTAATTTTGTTTCTACTAGTACTGCTACTCCCACCTTATACACATTGAGGTAATCTCCCAGCTCTCTGTGTCTCAGAGGACTTTTAAACGCTGTGATATTCCAACTCAATATGTTACTCATGATTCCTAGTCCTTCCAGGAGGGTTACTAGTATCTTTGTAACAAATTGTGTTGATTGATTTCACCTTTGCAGTGACTCTACTATCTTCTTTCCTTATTCCTTTCTGATTCAAGATTCTGATTCCTTTACCCCGAATCTCTCACACATTGTTTCTGAGGGCTTATGGACACATTCCTTCCATTCTTCACTGCATTTAATGCTAGCTTAGGACTTGCATGCTTTTGTGGACTTTTATTCGATGCACCATGTTCAGGTTCCTTATTCACTTTGATCACCTCTGATTCAATTACTTCTTTATGCTTCCATTCTAGCACTGGTGGTACTCTACACTCCTTAGTTTCATGACCATATCCATGGCAATTCTTGCATTGAATTAGCTTCCATTCAAACACAATTTTCTGCTCTTTCAACATGCCATATTCTTCCTTAAACAAAACTTCTTTCATCATTTCCTATTTGATCTCCACTTCAACTAGGACCCTGGCATAGCAAGATCTGAGCTTCTGAGTGGTCATATCATCCATCTCTCAATTGGCTTACCAATAAGACTTGCTAACCTACTCAGAGTGGTGGCGTTCCAGTACTTGATCTTCAACTTAGGAAATTGTATCCATACCGGCGCCTTCTTCACCTCTGCCTTACTCAAATCTTCATCCACTTCCCAATCTTTGACAATGAATGGTTTATTGTCAAAGTGATATATGTTCACCTTCAAGACTTCCTCCTTTGCTGCCCAATTCTTGAACCTTACCACAATCATTCCACTATCCAGCAACTGCACTTTATCCACACCTAATCTCCCCCAATTTCTTTGAATAAATCCATTCATAACAGAAAAGGGAGGATTCACGCCTAACACATAACAGATCCCAGAGTTCTTCCAGCATAACTTCTCATTCTCTACTTCCTCAGGAGTAATTTGCCCACGTCGGAGAAGATCGAGCTGCAATCGCACACACTAAGTGTGGAATCGCCCACAGTACTCAGAGAGAGAAGTCTTAATACTCACCATCCTGGTTTTGAGAACAAAAAAAAATAAAAACTAGCACCCAAGGAGAGCTACCGCCCATGTTGGACAACTCGGGTTCTGCTTCTTGAACTATGTAGCTTGTAGGTTAGGGCTTTTTATCTCGAAATGTTTGTCTTGTTTGTGAGTATTATCTTAATAATAGACAATCGTTTCAACTTGAGCGGGTTCAAGAGTTCATATTAATTGACAATAAATCGTCTAGTAATTATTACCTATAGATATCCTAGATAACGTTTTAGAATTTTGTATCATTAATACCTCTTATGTTCAATTTATTATGAGACATTAGATGCAAAGTACGCATTTGGATGATAGAGATTGATAACTAGTAGTACTGCGAATGATTGAGAGAGTGAATTGACATAGATAACCATAGATTGAATATAACACATACAGAGAAATGTAAACTCTTTATTAATAATGCTACATTTTAATGAAATGTACGTAAAAGGGGATTTTGTCTTTCTACATAGCCAATTTGCGTTCTCGATCTCCTTTTATCATTAATGTTTACGATAAATATTAGAGAAAGTTTGCATTTTTGTTATACATAGCTCCCGGCGATGTGTTTAAAGTTGGTTAATTAATGAGGTTTTTGATTCTCAATTTCTCTTACAAATTCGTTCATCTGCTCCTCTAACCCTGGAACAACAACATCCGGTCTTGGCGTAGGGATTGTTTGTTCCAGAAGTTTTTGTCGCATATTTGCCAAAATTACTTCCGCCCGTTGTCTATTGCTGTTATCATCATCTCCCGTCGTCTTGAATCTCTTCGAGGTCTATTGTTTGTTGAAGTTCCTCTCCATCGTCCTAAATCTTTTAATTGGATTGGATGATGATGATGATGCTGAAGGGTCTGCTTCTGAAATACCATGATGATGCCTTTGATGATCTTGAGAGACCTGCAAATATTATTGCATGAATTATTATTGTTTAAAGATGGCCCCTAATTGATGGGAAGTGGACACAAGTTAACATGTGTACTATAAAACTTTAAGAGTCACCTTCAACTTATTTTCCACATTGTTGGCATGTTTGCGATACATCAAATTGTTCTGTTCCATGATGAATTTCACCACCTCGTTTGCCGATCGAAACACTTCGTTGCTCCCTGAATGTGAAAAGAACTGTAAGAAAAAAAAAATTAGAAGAAACGAAAGTCTGATTATTTTACATGTGGCAGCTACATCATAGTATTCAAAATTACATCAATGTCAATCATGTTGTGGTACATCATAGTATTCCATGATGAATTCTATCTTTAGCTTGTCAGGTTCAAATGTATCTTCATAAAAAGAAATGCACAATTAAATGATCGCTATTTGATTATTTTTTCAGAAAAAAAAAAAAACGGGAACTGAAAACAAAAAATGACAGAAAGCATAGTTTGATTTCATGGTTAGAACTAGTGAGTGAGTAATAATGACTAGAGTGGGTACGTACCTCATCCTGGTTGCCATCAGGGCGTTCTCTGGTCTCCTTCTTCCATCTTTTCAGTAAATGGGGGAAAACCAGACGACTCTCATCTTTTACGCCTGGAACTTCTACTACTTCAGAACTCGATTCCTAGAGAATGATATCATTTTCCCAAAAACAAAATAAATTAGTTATCAATAGCATACCAATATAAATATTGAATGAATGTTAATTTGAACTTACATCGTACATGACCATATTATATGTGCTGGGATGATCTTTGACTCGGATCAAGTCGAACGATATTGTGGTAACATCGACGCCGGCAGTTATTCGACCTCTTCCCGTCCGAGATTCTTCCGGTTGAACCCCAACCTCCTGTCGGTTTGAAAATAATGTTCATATAAGTAAATCCAATGTGCAAATTCTAAACGTTCTAGACGAATTACTTTGGTTGTTGTTTTAAATTCTTCTCATAATTCGATTTAACCACAACTATTCGTCTATTAAGCAAGCCCAAAATGAGTTTTCAATTTCATCAGTCGCACACATTTATAATCTTTCATATTTTTTCCAAACAGAAAGACAAATTATAAGTGACTTAAACACACATTCTAATATATCTATTTTATGCAAACAAATCAATAAAATCTCATGAAACATGAAGGAAGCACTCTAAAGGCATTACTGTACTATGAATGATATACCTCTTCTAGGTCAATAACTTCTGTTGTTGGTGGGAATCTGGGCTCCTTTTCCTTTGAAGCACTGCTGGCGCCACTCGCAACCCTTTCTTCTTGCATAACCAAAGTTTCTAACTCCTACAAATTTTTACAATTCAGAAAACATTAGTACATAATCAGCAAAACACGAAAGAAATGATAATCGTTGAACTTACCTTAGTATCAGAAAATGAATAAACGCTCTCGGAATCGGGCGCGTAATCCTTAAAGATCAACGGATCAATATCAGGAAGAGGAGGTTGGGGCGTGAAAGGTGTGTTTGCTACCATTTCCCAACTGTCTGGGACTGGAACCGGGTCAAATTCGAAGGGAGCATCCCACTCAAAATTGTTGTTGTTGGATGCCATTCTTTTTCTTCTTTCTGTTTACTTAAGTTGGCGGCTGGAATTATGAAGAATGCAGAACAGTATGGAAGTGAGGAACTGAGTATAGTTTTTAGGTTTGAATTTATACAAGTGAGATTACACGTTTTGAGGTTACTGCGTAGTTCAGGCCTTTTTTATTTCCAGGTTAGGGAAAAAATCATGTCAGGACCTGAAATAATGAGATTTTTGAATTGGGGCCATACATTAAATGATTTAGAATTTCCTGGAATTTATGCTTGGATATTTTGCTTTAAAGGTGATTTACAATATAATAATGTAGACTTAAAGTTTTCCCAGATTTACTTGCCGTGATAACCAGTATCATGGAAAATTCTTGAATTTAATTTTTTGTATTTTGCCACATTAGGCATTTCTTTTCTTTTTTTTGATCACGTTCTTTTTGGGGGCAATTTTTGTACCTTTTGATTTAAAAATTTGGCACCTTTTCAGACCATGCAATACATAGAAAAAAAATCATTATTCCATGATGTTCATATTATCATTCCATTACCATAAATTTTACTGAATCTGTCCTTTCACTCGTCCCCTTCTTTAATATCCTACGATTCACACAAAAAAAAAAAGGAAGTTAATATTAGTACAATACGAGATGCGCTAATTTTTGGACCCAGAACTGCAAAATTTAACAATATCTATCACCTTTTTTTCTCAAACCAATATATATATCTATATATATCACCTATAAAATTATTAAAATTATTAATAATATAGCAACAGCGTAGCGTTATAATTTCCTCGATATTCTAAAATTGAAAGTTAAAAGAAATGCGCATAACCCAGCAAATTAACATAAAAATGACTAATTATATAACTATACTACATAATATAAATTTCAATTAATTAATTAATAAAGATGGACCCCCAAAAAAAAAGAGGGAACTAATTAAATCTATACTGATCACGCCTGGAACTGATTTCAGAACTATTGTGAAGTTTTGGTACTTCCAAATTGTTGAGGCTCCTCATGAAGGTCATTGCCTCAATTAGGGAAGGAGATTGTCTCAATATTGCAAATACAATAGCTAATTTTCTCGCTAAATTATACATATTAAAACAGCTAAATAAAAAAAATTAATGTTACTATAAATCTATATATATAACAATTTTCAAATCCCCGATCACCGGTCATTTTACTTTGTAGTGACATACATCCTTATGTTAAAAATGAGTTTTTTTAATATTACGCACCCAGTATGAAAAATGGGGTTTTCAATTTAACTACGCACATATTGTACTAGATCTTGTCGTCCTCTTAACTTCTTCTCTTTGATTGAAAGGATAATTAATTGAATCTTAATAATAAATTTAAAACCTTTTCGAACTGAACTCTCCTACTCGTACCTGCAAAATTAGCACCTAGAGTAGTTAACAACCATCGAATTAAGTGAGAAATGAAGTCTCTTGAATTACCTTAATCTTTGTGTAATTAATTTGTGCTCTAGGCCTAGGGCATGAGAATGGTGAAACGGAAAAGCTAACACACTGCTTAAAAAATGTATAGCACAAAAGAAAAAACTCAGCAATTAAATAAACACCTCCTTTAGGTCCACACCACTACTTCAGGTGATTTCCTCGAGTCATCTTCTGACTTCCTCAAATGGTAGAGCATGCTCCTCCTTGCTGCTCCTTTTTATACCTTGTTGTAATGTATTTTACTCTATTCATTACTTTCTTGATTGATATACTATCCTTTGCTGCTGATCTTCTTCCTTAGCCTCTACACTTCCAAGAAAAGTCTCAAGACTTCTGATTTCAGTCTTCCTTATCCAGTTCAAGTCCCATCAGCGATAGTAACAGTAGCCACTCTGGGTAGGTCCATGGACTTATTTAAGCGGTTCTAAACTATGTTTTATGAACGCTCTCAAGATTCCATAGTATGCATGCATAATTAGCTAAGTGATCAGTTTAACTAAGAGACTGATTAAAACACTTAAACTTGTAACAATGAACCATATAGTAGCATTACCAAAACATACTTGTATAGATAAGATGAATTAGACCCTAGAGAAGAGTTTACCTACTTATAATTATAGATTCAAACAGCAACAGATGCATTAAAAAGTATTTAGCATGAGTACAAAGCAAAGGAAATAGCGAAGGGAAAAAGGAACTCAAGGAGTTGTTGTCTTCAGGGGACTTCCTCGAGTCATCTTCTGACTTCCCGAATGGTAGAGCATGCCCCTCCTTGCTGCTCTTTTTCATACCTTTCTGTAATGTATCTTACTCTATTCGTTACTTTCTTGATTCATATCCTTTCCTTAGCCTCTAAGCTTCCAAGAAAAGTCTCAAGGCTTCTGATTTCAGTCTTTCTTCTCCAGTTCAAGTCCCATCAGTAACAGTAATAGTAGCCACTCTAGGTAGTGACGTTGGTCTTCCTCGGGTGGCAGCAATCGTCCAAAACCTTGACCTTTGTGACCATTTGAGCCCATATTTGCTCAAATACACCATGGAGTACCTTAATCACCCAAATACAGAAAACATAAGTAAAACTAAACAAATCCTAATTAATTTTACTCATTTACAAGTAAAAAATGAGGCTAAATATGCTTGTTAAAACATGTAAATTTGACCCTCATCAAAGCATAACAAAACGCCAATGTATTGGAGCAATTAATTTTCATAAGAGCATGGTGGCCCAATTGTTTCTTATTGTTGGAAAATAGTAATGTAACAGAAAACTATTATAAATTGAGAAGAAAAGGAAGAACATAACTTTCATGCATGTTTAACTGAACAATTGATGAATGATACTGAGCAATTTATTATCACACTTTTAGCTTCCAAGGTTAAATTCGTATTCAGTAGGTTGACTGTTAAATATCGCTCCCTTAAATGCTACGTATCGCTCTCTTTGGGCTGTTTTGCCATTCTCATAATTTCAAACCATACATTCTTTTGTCAATCCTACTTCAAATTCTCTAAAATTCAAGATCCAAAAGTTCAATTTCTTGAATTAGAAAGCTACAAATATAAGAAATCAACAGAGTGCTAGTTTAGGCAAAGGCATAATAACAAATGGAAAAAGTTTTTTTCCAAATTATTTGATAAAATTAAAAAAAAATGTAGAAAAAAGTTCTAACTGGTCAGGCATCAGTTGCTTGCACCCGAGCGGTGGCGTCGGCGTCCAGCCCAGACGCCTTCCTTTTTTGTTTGTGGTATTTAGTGACTTTTCAAAAGAAAAAAAATTGTTATGGCATACTTGATAAAGTAATCAATGATAAATTAATCAGTAACTTTTCAAATGTCAAATCTATAATTGAACTTTTTATTGGATTTACATTTTTTTTTAGAATTCACTTGAAATTACAATTGAATTTAATTGTTCAAATCTATAACACGGATAATAATTAATTATTAACTTCAAATCAAGATTAGTTCTTAATTTAATATAAACTTAATTGCTACAAAACAAATTATTACAATAATTAAATAAATAACTTAAAAAATTAAAAAAATTAAAAAGGGATTGGGTGTCCACCATAGACGCTCAAACCACGGTACGAGTATCCAAATTAGACGCTTGAACTATGGTTGAGATGCGGTCGGAGGACACCCAAACCACGGTACGGGCGTCTAGTTTTTTTCTAAATACTTGGGAGAATTCCAGTGTCCAAAATTTTTTTCTAAATTATGTCAGGGGTAAAATGGTCAAAAGAGAGTAATATATAGCATTTAGTAGAATAGCATAACCCATCAGTAAAATGTTATTGATTTGCAAAGTTTATTGATCATTTCCTAGCAAACTTATTGAGGACTTTGTTCATCATGCCCAAATTCACCACATGGCCAGTATCTGTGTTTGGCGCCATTGTGAATTTCTACGTATTGGCTTTTGTTTCCATGGCAGTTGTTCGGATATTCCTTCTTTTCCTTCCATTAGAGATGATGATGTCAATTCTTCTACATCTAGCCAGCAAATTGTTTTTGGTCTTTATGAAGTACACCACTTCCACTACAGATCGAAATTGTCGTTAATAAAATGTTTCAAGTTATAGTGATGGTAAGACAAAATGATTATTAGCATATGATTTGTAATGAAACTGTTGGGATTCTTACAACCCAAAATACATTTGATACTGAATATTTACTCAAACACAATACACAAAATGGAAATAGTAGATACTCAAGTAAAGACAACACAAGAATTAAGTGGTTCGATCTCTCAATAGATCTACGCCCATGGACACAACATAATCTCACTAGTATAGGTCCTATAGGAATAGAAGAGATTACGATAATATATTTTTTCTCAATGCACTATGTCTTCCAACTCTTAATTCTAAGCCTATATTCTCTTTCACTTTGTCATATCTCCAACCCCCTCCCCCCCCATTTAAAAATGAAATTGGGCTTAGAGGTGTTAATATAACAAAAACAAATATACATAAGAACCTTTACAAGATTTTTATTCTTATTTTTAAAGATGTATAGTGTTAATGCTACTTTTATATTATATATTTCACATCACAAGAAATTTTTGTTTTATAAATTTCGTAATCTTATAATTAACATTTGTCTCTAGCCAAAAGGGAAAAAACGGTTATTAATTCTTGAATATAAAGGTCTAATGTTGATGATGTTTTCTGTGCATGTTCTATTCAAATTTAGTGGGCATGCTTTTGAAATTCCATGGTCTCTTTGATTATCACTTACCTACAAGTTGCTTGATTTTATTTGATTGAAACAATCATTGAACGTAAAAATCCATTTAAAACTGTTTTCAAACAAAGGTCAAGTGACTTACATCTTGTAATATTTATGAAAAACAACCAATAAAGTCATGAAACATGAATTAATATACGCTCTAAAGGCATTGTATGAGTGATAGCGCTTTTAGATCAATAAAAACAGGTGGTGCCTGATAACACTAAAATATACACTTTTAGCATAGGTGAAATGCTTTTAAGGCATTGTATGAGTGATACCTCTTTTAGTGTTAACACATTATTACTTAGAATTAA